AAAGTTAATTGTTTAAGAATCCATATAGAAAAATAAACCGTATTGCATCAAATCAAAAAGAAACCAAACCATAATGCAAATTTAATTAGTTTCAGTTTTTATAGCACCGATAAAACAAAACAAAAATGGAATAACTAAACTGAAAAAGGTAACTTAAATTTCTTAGTCATATATACTTTCATACTTACACGATGTGATGAGGGTTCCATAGAACAGAGTAAGTGTGGAAATCAGCGGTTGGATCGAACCAGAGATTGAATTGTTGTTCTCTATCACCTTTGCCTTGAGTGTACACATTCGTATGCATGACATACGGATCACCAGTTAGATTACCAAGAAACTCGAAATCAATTTCGTCCCACGTATCACCTTTTGACTTCAACTACATGAAAACAATCACAAACTGTTAAAAAACTTGCGTTGATCTCTTCGAGTTCTGACGTGAGATTCCGAACAAAATACTAAAAACCTAGAACTAGTATATAAATAGAATGAACTTACACTTGTTTATTGTCAAATAGTTTGGAAATGAAAAGTCTATATAAATGAAATTTGACATGGTAACATGACTAACATCGTATAGAAATATGTATGCATGGTTAAGATGTTAAGTAACACTAACGTAGTAGGCTGTGACGGTTCCGGCTGAGTTTCCGGGCACGAGTTTGAGCTGCATATCGATCTTTCCGAACAAATACTCTTTCTTGGTTTGAAAACCAGAACCCGAGGCTTTATCTAGGGAGAGAGTGAGAAGATCACCGTTGTTAAGGACCTTACCACGACCATCACCCCAAGTGATGTCGAATTCTGTGTCGAAAGTTCCGGCAAGAACAGGAGAGAAGAAGTTCGTTGTGGAAGCGGTGAGTGTGAAGAGTATAGATAAGATCAAAGTGGACCGGTCCATGTTTGTGTGTCAATAAGATTGAGAATTTAGAATCATTCATTGGGACCGTGTGTGTTGGGGGGTTTTATATAAGGGAGGCTAGTCTGTCTTTTTGGAGTTTAGTTCGCCGTTTGTGACTCTTGTATTGTTTAAGCTGTGAACAGCTGTTTTTTTTATTGTGAAATGTGAAACATGTATGTGCTTAGTATTGCCTCATGCTACGTGTGCGTGTTGTTTGTTTCGGTTCTGAGTCTGCCCATTCCGGTTTGATTTGGGATCCTGGTTTTGTGGGTGATTGGTTCGGATGTAACTGTAAAATAATTGCCGTATAATTTGGTCTATAGATATTTTATTGTAGTTATAAGATTTTGTGCATGATTGGTTGGGCTTTAAACCTTGTCTACAGTCTTAATTTTTCTTAAAGCATTATTATGTTACCAATCATGTTGTAGCTTTAATTCTTTAAGTTTCAAACCTACATCCTTTGTTACCAATCATGTTTTTGCTTTAATTCTATAAGNTACAGCCTCTTTAATTTTTTTTTAAATTTCTTTTGTTGTAACATGTAAAATCTTACAGCCCCATTTTTATGGCTGTACACTCTTATTTTTTTNAAAAAATTATTTTTAAAAAATNNAAAAATCAAGATAAGCACATCGATTTACCTAATTGAAAAAAGTCTAACC